AACATATTTCAATATAAATCTTGTATATTTATATGTGACACCTTTTTTTTTTACAGTAATTTGCTCATTTTAAACTTAGGAGTCAATAAGATCACCCCCAAGGTAGACTTATTTCCCTCATGACTTTCGGGAGCTTATTTTAAACAAATAGTTATGAGTTCAGTTACAATAGTTCTGAGCCCACAGTGTCTGTGGATGGGCAGGCATTTGGAGGGACTGTTTGGGAAAGAGTTGACCTTCTCTCGGGACATCTTTCAGCCCTTCCTCCAGGATCCACCTTTCTGAGATACCTGTAGAACCAAATGCCTCTCCTAAATATTCTCCTTTTCTGGCACAATTTAATCTTCTCTCTGCTCCAGCCTTTTAGCTCAGAATCTCTTTCTCCCCAGTTTGGAGATAGCTTCTCTCTTTTACACAAATTTCTTAGGGAGTGGTTTTAATGGCTTCAGAGAGGCCTTTTGTTCTATTGTCAGCTCTGATTGATTCAGTAAAATACTGTTCTCACATAGTCAAGGAGCCAAAATGGGGGTAGTTTCAAATCCACCCTTACATATACATTTTATAAACCTCATTCTGAGAAGGCGTCCAGGACACAAGACAGCTTAAGAACCCCTGGGCTGCAGAGATGTAATCTGTTAGCATGATCTATACAAAATCAATATATAGATGTACACTAGCAGCTAGGAAAATCAGCAAGAGCCTCTTAGAGGAAGTGGCATTGAGCTGAGCCTTGAGGGATCCAGGGGTTTTTAAACGTGTGAGTGAGGAGGAAGAGCATAGCAGGTGTGAGGGCCAGGCCTGGGCCAAGGAATGGAGGCAAGAGGTGGGTAGTCTAGAGAGGAAGCATGGTTTGGCAGAAACCCGGAACGTGTTGGTGTATGTGGAGAGGAGAGTGAGATGAGTAATGAACTCCAGCCTGGAAAGGTCAGCTGGATCCAGATGGTAATGGGCTTTAAGGGTCAGAGCATTTTATAACCTCAGTTTCTCCATCTGCAAAATAGACAGTTGCTAAGGTCCCTCCCACTATGGCTTGGAGCAATCTGGGAAGGCTTCATGGAGGATTCGGACTTGGAGAATAGGCTTTAGGTATAAGAGGCCCTCTGAAAAGAGACTAGAGCACTTACAAAGACCAAAGCCTTGATGCTGGCCCCACCTCACCTCAGAGGCGGTTTCTCACCCACCTCTACCCGTTCAAGCTTCTTTGCCCAGTGGTTTAGGTCTTAACATGCTTTCCAGAGCGACAAATTTGAGGAACCATCCACTCAGAAGTAACTTAAGAGATCTGCCTGTGCGATAGATAGCCACCCTTCACTGCCTTCCCCCCATCCCCCCCCATTGGACCTACTTTTTTCCTGTTTAAAAAAATTTATTAGTTATAACATTCTTTTTTTTTTAATTTTGAGTTCCAAATTTTCTCTCTCCCACCCATGGGAAGGTAAGCAATATGATATCAATTATATGTGTAAAATCACACAAAACATATTTCTATATTAGCCATGTCACCAAAAAAGCAAGAAAAATTAAGAAAGTGAGAAAACTATATTTCAGTTTGTGCTCAGAATTCATCAGGTCTCTCCAACTTTTTCATCATGAGTTCATTGGAATCGTCTTGGATCATTTTCCTGACCAGAGCAGCCAAGCCTTTCACATTTGCTCATCATTACATTATTATTATATTATGTGCTGTTACTATGTGCAATGATCTGTTATGATTATGATTATTATTGCTATTATGTATGCTGTTATTATGTGAAATGATCTGGTTCTGCTCACTTCACTTTGCATCAGTTCATGTGAGTCTTTCCAGGCTTTTTGAGAGCAGCCTGCTCCTCACTTCTTATAACACAATAGTATTCCATCACAATTATATACCACAACTTGCTCAGCCATTCCCCACTGGATGGGCATCCCCTCAATTTCCAATTCTTTGCCACCACAGAAAGAGCCGCTATCAATATTTTTGTACGTATGGGCATCAGACCTACTTTCTAACCATTCTACTCCCCACCTGGAATTTCTGAGTTGGGAGGGACTCTTGGGGTCATCTAGTTCAACTCATTACTTTACCAGAATTCCTTTCATGTTAAGTTGCTTAAACCCCTTTGGGGCCCCAGCACCCTTATCTGTAAAAAGGAGGGGCTCTGAGGACCAATGTTTGAGCATGCTACTCGCTTTCTGATAGAGGGGAGATGGATTCAAGATGAAGAGTGAATGGGGTACATCCTTAGGCAGGGCCAACTTGAGAATTTATTTTGTTTCACTATGCTGATTTGTTACAAGGGTTTTCTTTTTCTTTTTCCAAGGGGGGGAGGGGAGAGAAAAAAAAATTCTTATTCATTGGAAAAAAAAAAACAAGCAGCATTTGTTAAATACTTACTATGTGCCTGAGGTATCCTCCAGCTCCAGAGCTAGATTCCCTGATCACACCAATCAATAATGTATCACAAATTTTGAGCTGCTAGGATCTCAGAGGCCAACTCGTCCAATCCTCTCTTTTTACAGATGAGGAAACTGAGGAACAGAGAGAAGAAGTGACTTGCCCAAGGTCACATAGGCGCTGAGTGGCAGAATCAAGATTCCAGCCCAGATCCTCTGATGAACCTTTCTGCTATACCAGATAGAGCCTACATCAGAGAGGAGATTGCAGCCCAGGTTGTCTTACTCCAGGGTCAGGCAATCAACAATCGCTTATTAGGCTCCTGCTGTGTGCCAGGCACAGTGCTAAGTGTTAGGGACATAAAGAGGTAAAGGACAGTTCCTGCCCTTGAGGAGCTCCCAATCTAAGGGGGAAGACAACATGAAAACAACTATAAACAAACAAGCTATCTATATACATAGTATATACTGGTGAGAACAGAGGAAAGGCACTAGGGTTAGGGAGGATTGGAAAGGTCTTCCTGTAGAAGGTGAGATTTTAGCTGGGGCTTGAAGGAAGCCAGGAGGCAAAGAAGAGGAGGGAGGGCACACCAGGCAGGGGGCACAGCCAGGTCAAATGCCCAGAGTCTGGAGATGGAGATCCTTATCATTGGATGGAAGAGCATGTGGCAGGGAGAGGGAGGAAGGCTGCTGGGAGGGTAGGATGCAGGGCAAGTTTGGAAGAGATTTTACATCAGAGCCTTGGGGTGATAGGGAGTCAGTGCAATTTACTGAGAAGGGGGAGGGACTTGTACTTGAGGAAGACCACCCCCACAGCTGAGTGGAGGATGGACTGAAGGAGACCCACCAGGCTATAGCAACAGGAGATAGGGGTCTGTACCAACCAGCACACTCCCCAGGGTACCACGATGTGCCCTTTGTAGAGGGACTGTGAAGACTGGCCCTGAAGACTCGTATGAGCTGATGCAAAGGGGAGTGAGCAGACCCAGCGTCACCATTCATGCAGTAACAGCACTTCTGCAAAGATGACCTGACACTACTCTGACTGATTCAGTGGCCCACCACAATTTCAAAGGGCGCCTGACGAAACGCGCCATCCACGTCCGGAGAGCACCGACGGCCTCACAGGGGAGACTGAATCGTATTGTTTTATCTTTCTTTTTCTTGCCTTTTTTTCCCCAAACATGGTTAATGTGGAAATTTATGTCCCATGGTTGTTTACATGTGTAATGGGTTGCCTTTTTCTTGCCTTTCGATGGGTGGGGGAGATGGGGGAGAGGAAACTGAAAATAAAATGAAACAGAATTTTTTAAAAAATGCTATACAAAAAAAAACTGGCCAAAGCTTATGCTGGGTGCCTCTTGAATATCTCCATAAGCGAGCTATAAAGCTCTTTGTGGGCAGAGATGATTTCATTTTTCTCTTTTATCCCTACTGCCTGGCAATAGTAGGTGCTTAATTGATTGAGTCTTCAGGAAGAAACATTAGCAATCTCTATCATGAAGAGGCCTGGATCCATGGGGCTGGAGAGCGGTGGGAGGGGAGTCACCCTGCTGGATCTGACAGCTTCCCCTTTGCTCAAAGACGGCCAAACTCAGGGAAAAGGTCTGGTTGAGTGGAAGGACAGAAGGAGGAGAAGGAGGAGGAGGAAGAGGAAAAGGGAAAGGAGGAAAAGAAGGAGCAGGAAGAAGAGGAGAAGGAAGAAGAGGAGGAGGGGAGGAGGAGAAAGGGAGGAGAAGGAGGAGGAGGAGTTGGAGGAGGAGACGTCCTTCCTGCAGCGTGCCATCTCGGTAAATTTCCCAGCAAGCTCCTATCTCTCCCTTCCTGTTTTCTCTTCATGGTTAACCTCACTACTAAATTTCTAGCATGTCATCACCTTCCCTGACAGTCAACATTTAGTCCCTCCTGGAAACACTTAACCAATGACAGGACGTGCTGGACTGGAAAGGGAGAGGGGACTGAGGGTCCCCCAGAATGGTCAGCGTGGGGGATGCAAGGAGAAAGGGGACTTCTGGGCCTGGTGGTCAGCCCGCAGGCTAAAGGATTCTATAAAAACCTTGCATTCCTGGCTGCCCTCCCCCTGCCTCGGCCAGATGAAGCAAAATGCGACAGGACAGTGAGCTTTTATGACCAGGTTGGGCCCGATTTGGATCGCTGTACCTTCCCTCATGTGAGCGCAACCAAAAAATGGGTCTCAGTTGGAAAGAATCAGAGCACGTTGGAGCTAGACGGGGCCTTAGAACACAGAGCTGGGAAGGACTTTAGGATGCTGAAGTCAAACCTGTGAAATAGCAGAGCTTGGAGCTGCCCTGGAACACAGGCTGTCCCAGAGAGAAGGGCCTTAGAACATAGGATGTCAGAATTGGGCGGGACCAGAGAGTACTGGGGCCACCAAGAACAGAAATGTCAGAGGAAGGAGGAGACAGAACGTGGAGAAAATGGAGAGAATCTCTAGCCCAATTCCCTTGTTTTACAGATGAGTTAACTGAGGCTCAGAGAGGAGCAGTCATTTGCCCAAAGCCAACCCACAATTTGTGGTCGTCCTAGGAGTGGAACGCAGGCCCCCTGCTGTGCCCAGATGCTCCTGGCAGTCTCTCCACCTCAGCCCTCCCCTCACCACTTACCCAATAATCCCAGGCACGAGGGGACAGTTGGTGAGGCCTCCAGCCTGGCTTGCCTGCAGAAACGGCCGGTAGCTTGGCAGTGGCTGCCTGAGCTGGGGCACCTGCCCAGAACCAGAAAGGACTTTGGGTGCAGGCATCTCTGGGAGAGTGGAGAAGGAATGAAGAGCTAAGCTCATCTTGAGCCAGCCGTGCAATGCCATCCCAGGGACAGGTCAGAGGCGGGGGAGCCCTGCAGCCAGGGACCTCCCAGCCCAGGCCTCTCCTGGGAAATGTATTTCTCTGGAAATGGAAAGAAACCAAAGGCTTCCGAAATTCCAGCCCGGGCCGCCCCCTCCCTGCAGCCAGCTGTGTGGAATGTTTGAACAACTGCATGGAATGTTTTTCAGTAAGAATTCTCCCAGGGGTTTCCAGGATCTAGGAGCTCAGATTTCAAAAAGGAGACCAGCTAGAGTCCCATGCTGGAGAGGACTCTGGCTGGGCCTGGAGGGAAGTGCCATGGACTGCTGAGGGTGTGTGAGCTGAGCCCCAGAGGCCCCAGGCCCCGAGCACTCACTCCTGGAGTGGGGGAGGACAAAGGAGCCTGCTGCAGATCTGATGCTGCGGCCAGGCTCAGAGGGAGGCCCGGGGGCTGCTCTAGGGAGAAGGGAGGGTCCGGGGCACTCCCATGGCCCTGGGAGCCCAGCTGGACAAGGGTGAAGCTTTTCTAAGTGCTTACTGCTGGGTCTTTGGACTGGATTTGGCCACCTGCGTGACCCAGGCCTCAGCCCATTTGAGATTCTTCCCTTGCTGATATAACTGGTCAGCTAATGTTTGCAGGGGGCCTGTAGGAACTTCCAGCCATGGTTACTCAGCTTGTGCTAAGCAGGATGACAGGTCCCACAGTGGCTATGTCAAAAAGGGTCAGTGCCTCCAAACGAAGCAAGCTGACCTAGAGGATGACCCATTGGCCCGAGGAGCCGGGACACCAGGGTCCTCATCTCAGCCCCTTCCTAAGGAGCTGTGATCGTGGCCAGGCTCCTCTCTGGACCTCTTGTCCCCACTCCGTCTCACTGGCACCTCCCAATGGTTGACCTTACACCAGCGTCAGAGCTGGGGCAGATGGGGCTGCGCACCAAGGTGCTGACCTCTAGAAGGGGGCTCCAGCTGGCTGATGTCATCAGAGAACACTCAGGCCTGACACGAAACCATTCCAGCCCTTGGCCCCAGCGATCCCGTCAGGGAGCACACTCCATGGAGAGGTCAGAGGAAGAAAGCCCACGCCCACCCCGCCCTGGCTCCCCCTGGACACCGAAATATTCAGAGCAAGACTTTTGGGGGGACAACAAAGTGGAAATCGGGTGGGTGCCCATCACCCGGGAGCCAGCTGAATAAACTGGAGTCCCTGAATGCCCTGTGAGAGATGATAAATAGGAAGGACTCGGAGGAACACAGGAAAACGTAAGCGAAGTCAGACAGACCGAGCAGAAACAAAACCAAGCGAATGAGCAACAGAACAGCTCCAGTAAGTAAAAGACAAGAGCCCAGAATAGGGGGCTGAACCCAAGCAGGCTCCTTGTGAAGAGCGTCTTGGCTCTGGAGAGAGAGAAAGAAACGTGCTTTGTTCCTCTTGGTTGAGAAGTGGGGGGCTGTGGCTGCAGGACGCTACATACATAAGCCAGGCAGGGTGGCTTCATCATTCAGTGGTGTGGCTGGCCTCTTTTTCTTTGTTTACAGGGACAGGTTGACCACTCTGAGCTGTTCCAGCTTCGAATCCTATGATTCCGTGAAATTGGGGTTCAAGCCATGATGATGATGAAAAATAATAGCTAGCATTTATGTAGCACCTACTGTGTGCCGTGCAATGTGTGCTAAGTGCTTTACAAATATTATGTCATCTGGTCCTCACAATTGCCTTGGGAGGTAGGCGCTGTTATGTTCCCATTTTGTAGATGAAGAAACTGAGGTGAAGTGATTTGCCCACAGTCACAAAGGTAGGAAGTATCTGAGGCTAAATTTGAACTCAGGTCTTCCTGCTTCTATCTGCGGAGCCAGCAACAGATACCATGGCCATTTAAGTCCCTGGCTTTGCTGCTGAGCATCTGTGTGGCCTCAGTCATGGCACTCTCCTGCTTGGTGCTGAGTTTCCTCCTCTGCTGTGGACACAGTGGTCTCTCAGTTCCATTCCTAGATCCCATAAGCAATGGTGGTCATGGGAGCATCCAGGGGTGTGTGCCCAATGCCCTCGGAGCAACCTCAGCTGACCATCCTGGACGAGGAGGGGTCCCTGGCTCTCCCAGAGCTGAGGGGTTGGCTCCCCAGGATGTTCCCCTCCCTGAGCCCTCGGGGACACGTTATGGGTGGGCAAACACTCAGCCGTCTGGGCAGGGAGCAGAGTAGACCTTCCCACCCAAAGGCCTGACATCTTTGGTGCCTGTAGAAAGGCAGGTCAGTCACCCGCTTGGAATCTACCAATGAGCCAGATCTCCCGGTGCCCCAAGGGAGAGGGACAGAGAGGGGAGCTGCCTCAGCCCAGCAGGTGACCAACCTTTCTAAAGGAGCACCCAGGTCCTGAGCCTCCCAATCTCTCCTCCCTGGGATCTTGGACCCTGAACTTTGGTAAAATTATAGAATTCAGTTGTAGCCACCCAGCCCAACAGCCTCAGATTATAGCATGAATATTTGGGTTATGGGATGGTCTTTTTTCCACCCAACAGAAAGTAGAAAAACAACATAAAAGACAAGTAGTGTCTTGACAAGAGGGTCATTCTAGCCTCCTGGCTCCCCTGCAGCCCTCCAGGCTCGCAGCACCACCCAGGTTCTAGACTCCTCTCAGGAGGGGAAGGAGCTAAGGGTTGTTAGCTGGTCCTGATGCTTAGATGGGTCGTCCTTTCAGTGCAGAAATGCATCTAGACCTCCAGCCTCAGGGAGCAACTTTGGGCGTGGGACTCACTGAGAGGGAAATGTGTATAGAATTACACAAAAGCAGCCTGTTTCTGCTGGAGCTGCACTGTCTAAAACTTGTGGCAATAGGGGAGGGCAAAGTGCAGGCTCTGAGGGCACCTCTTGCCCTTTGCTGTTATACTAATCACATGCCCCACGGGGCCCTCTGCAGGAAGCTGGACCTGCCCAAGAGTTCTGCTTTCTCTAAAAGGTTTGGTCCCAGAACTCTAGAACTTGGGAGTGTAGGGAAGGCAACCCCAAGGCTGGCACATCCCAGGGATGACCCCTTATCTTGACAGCAGGAAGGAAAGATCCCCTCTCTATCTAGAGGCTGAGGCTCAGAAACTCCTAACAGCTCTGGAAAGCTGGGTTCAGTGACCTTGGGCAAGTCATTTTATGTCCCCTGCCCTCAGTCTCCTCACCTAGAAAATGGGGGGGGTAAACTAAATGGCCTCTGGGGTTTCTGTTAGCTTGGCATCCATGATCCTACGACTCCCAGTCACTTCTCCAACTGAGGTTATGCCCCTGGCCTCTCTGAGGCTGAGACCAAAAACTTGGGGTTCAAGAATGCTCCTCAGAAGATCTAGGTTCAAATCCTATGCCTGACACTCAAACCTAACTAGGTAGTATACATAACCTCCCTCAGTCTCACTTTCATCCTCTGAGAAGTGAGGTATGTCAAAGTTATGTTTGTTTATAGGAACTCCTTCACACGGTGGCAAAGAACTTGAAACTGCAGGGGCGCTCCTCACCAACTGGGGAACAGCTGAACAAGCACCCTCATGCAGCAAGACACGACAGAGGGGACGGCTTCCGAGAAACCTGGGAAGACTCGTCTGAACCGATGCGGAGGGAAGGGAGAAGAACCCAGGGAACATGTTCTCCCATAACAACAGTACTTTCAGAGACGATCGAGATTTATGGTTCACCCAATGACTGACCCCAGTCCCAGAGGACTCGTGAGGACCCAGGCTGCCCGCCTCGGACAGCGAGGTGGGGAGCTCAGGGCACAGAGGCAGATACCGACGGTGGTCGCTTCAGGAATTTGGTTGGCTTGTCTCTGCATATTTCTTGCAAGTCATTTTGTTTTGTTTTTGTTTTTTCATTGGAGGGTAGAAGGTGGAAGGGAACTATTTTAATTTAATTGAAATTAATAAAAATCAGGTGAAAAGAATTTTAATAAGTAAAACAAGGGGTTTTGACTAGATGACCTCAGAAGTCCCTTCTTGCCGTGGAGGTGATCCTGCCACTACGAGCAGACTGTGAGGCAGCCATTAACAGCTTTCCAGCATCTATCTGGGCCCCAGGCATGTTCTGAACTCTGATGCTCTCTCAGAATCTTTCCAGGAAGGGGGAAAGAGGCCCAGAGGGTCCACATTGGCCCTAGCTGGAGAAGTCCATTGACACCTCAGTGGATCTAGTGTGTTGGGCCTGGAGTCAGGAAGACCCAAGTTCGAATCCGGCCTCAGATTCTTCCTAGCTGTGTGACTCTGGGCAAGTCACTTAACCTCTGTTTGTCTAGATTTCCCCATCTACGAAATAAGGATAATAATAACACTTACCTCCCAGAGTTGATGTGAGGATCAAATGAGATAATAGTTGTAAAACACTTAGCACAGTGCCTGGGCACATAGGAGGTACCGTACGAATACTTATTTCCTTCCCTTCCCCCACATGGCACTTAACCTTTTCTTATCGGCCCAGCACCAGCACCCCAGTGGTCCAAGTCGCCCCGTTTACCCCCAGTCTCTGACACTGTGTCCTTCAGGAAGGGCCAGGCTTCCACAGGATTTGATCCACGTTCACACAGTCATTCCCTCAACGTGCACACAGTGGCTATTTTGGGTCAGGCACTGTGCTGCCCTGGGAGAACATGAACAAGAGTGAAACCGTCCTGCCCTCGAGCAGCTTACAGTCTACTGGGAGAGGGAGCAGAGATACAAAAGAAACGCAAGCCGGTTCTGAGAGGGAGGGCCCTGGCCTGGGAAGCAGAGGATGGACTCAAACCCAGAGTCTGCCCCTTCCACGTGATCCGCCTAGGGACAAAGCATTTAACCTGTCTAGATCTCGGGGTTAGAACAATGACGCCTGGGATGCTTCTGGCTCTAAAGCTACGTCCCTATACCCCCAGGATAATAAGATTAGAGCCAGGTCATGAAGGGTCTTAAAAGCCAAACAGAGGGACTTCTATTTGCTCCTGGAGGTAATAGGGAGCCATGGGTTTTTACCGAGGGAGAGCAGTGACATTAGGCATGTCACTGTAGCAGCTGTGTGGAGATTGGACAGGAGTGGACTGAGGGTCTGAAAGCAGATAGATAAAATGGGAAGCTGCTGCTTCAATAATCTAGGAAAGAAGTGATCAGGGTGATGGTGTGAAGAGGCAAAGGGGTGCAATGGGAGAGATACAGAGGCAGAAACAAGATCTGGGATGTATAGGGAGTGTGATTACTCTGAGACTGGGAGCCTGGGTGACCAGGAGGACGGTGATGCCTTTGACAGAAGCAGCAGGTCCCGCGGAGGGGACATTTGGGGGTGAGAAGACAACATTTGAGATGTGTTGAATTTAAGGTGTCTACAGGCTGCTGTCAGGAGGACCTGAGTTCAAATCCAGCCTCAGACACTTACTAGCCATGTGACTTTGGGCAAGTAGTCACTTAACCTCAATGGCTTCCAAAATTTAAAAAAGAAAATTTAAAAGAATGTCTGTGGGACTGCCAGTTTGAAGCTTCCAACAAGGTAGATCAACCCCAACAAACGTCCACATCCCTGTGAGCCCCCCTCGTCCCAGAAGCCCAGGATCTGAGAGCCTGGAGGGATGTCAGTGGCCATCCAGCCTGGTCCATAAACAAAAGGAATTTCCACCAACTGGATTTCCACCAATTTCCTCCCCCTCATCACCCCCCAAAGTAGCCTTTCTACTTTTAGAGAGCAAAGGGTTTAGAAGATTTTCTGGACCCTGGAGTCAGGAAGACCTGAGTTCAAATCCAGCCTCATACACTTACTAGGTGACCCTGGCCAGGTCACTTAGCCTTGGTTTGCCTCAGTTTCCTCCACTGTAAAATAGAAATAATCATACCACCGACCTCTTGGGAATGTTGTGAGGATCAAAGGAGATAATAGTTGTAAAGCATTGAGCACAGTGCTTGAGACAGAGTAAGCACTATACAAATATTAACTATTATTTTGTATTAACATCAAGCCCAAATATTCTTCCTCGCAATTTTCACTCACTGTTCCTGGCTCTGCCGTCTGGGACAAGTATTTCAAATATTTGAAGACAGTTTTCACAGCCCCTCCTCTCCCTGAGGCTTGTCTTTCCCCAGCTCCTCCAACAGATTCAAGGCCCTTCCCCGTCCCAGTTACTCTCCTCTGAGCCCTCTCCAGTTAATCAGCTTCCTTATTAAATTTGGGTTTTGGAATGAAATCTGATAAAGGCAGAGCACAGTGGGACTGATCGCCTCCCTATAACTGGAAGATGCACCCCTGATTTTATTCTCGCCTGATGCCTGTCTCTCAGTATGATGTACTTTATCACAAACTTTGCTAAAATCCAGTATATACCATAGCCACAAAATCCCCCCATCTACTAGCCTAGTAATCGTATCCCAGAAGGAAACTAATCGATCATGGAATTCTTCTGGTTCCCACTCCCCATCCCCCACCCCAGTCTAATGTCGTCTCCTGGCAAATTCCCCCATTTGCTCCTTTTCTGCCCTTGAGGACTGAGCAGACCAGGTGATTTCCAGGTGACTGCCCTTCAAGAACCTGTCTCAAAAACCACCTCCACCAGGAAGCTTCCCTGATCCTCCCAGCTGATTAAAATCTTTCCCTCCCAACCATCCCAAGGTAGGCCTCCCATAGGACTTTGGTTTTGACATCTCTAATGTGCTTCTGTTCTAGTCGCATTATTTTGTCATTAATCCACTGGGTGACCTTGGACAAGTCCCTTCCCCTCTCAGGGCTTCAGTTTCCTCCTCCATAAATTATGGGGGTTGGACTAGTTCAGGGGTTCTTAACCCCACGGACATGGATAGATTTCAAAGGGTCTGTGAACACAGATTAGGGGGAGGAGGCACATATGTTTTCCCTAACCTCTAACTGAAATTTAGCATTTCCTTAAATTATCTGAAAACCTGACTTTGAGCAGGGGTCCACTGATGTCCCCACCAGACTGCTACCCAAGGAACCCAGGTCACAGAAAAGAAGACGAGCCCCTGCACGTGCATGCCTCCGAGAACCAAGTCTTACGATCCTACCAGGTGATATTGCGCATTACGTAGCTCTCGGTGTCGCTGACATAGCCTGTTACTATTTGAAAACTTCCTGCGGGCAGGGACTCTGGGTTTTCTCTAAAGGTTTTCTCCATTCCAATGTCCAGCCCAAGACTTTGTACACAGTAGATGCATAATAAATGTTGGTTGAACATGAATCTGTTGCTGAATAGGTTTTCTCTGCTGAATGGGTACAATAATCCTTGCACTAAGAGGCAGCCTGGCACAGGGGACAGAGAACCAGCCTTGAATCTGTCAAGACCTGGGTTCAAATCTTGCCTATGACACGCATCTAGCTGCATGGCTTTAGGCAGCTCATACAAGCTCTTGGTCCCCCAGGCAAGACGGTGAGTTACAGATGAGTTGCCTAGCTTTATCAGAGGAAAGACTTTCCATGCCTGGAGTGCCCTACTTCAATAAATCCTAAGTCTGGACCAAACAAAAGAAACTCTTGGACTCCCAGCCTCCCAGGGGAGCGGTGAGAAAGTCACCATAAAAAATGAACTCTCCTGGTCACGCTGAGTTAGGTGCAGAATTTCCTGCCTCCCAGCTTAGGAAAGAAGGGAGGCAGGGTGGGCTATGGGGCAGAGTCCTATCTCTAGAGACAAAGGATCTGGGTTCAAATTCCGCCTCTCTCATTTATTCCCTGTTTGACCTTGGGCAAATAATTTCCCATCCCTGGGCCTCAGTTTCCTCATCTGTAAAAAAAGAAGCTAGACTGAGTGGCCTTTCAGCTCCCTTCCAGTTCTGATCTATGGTCCAGTGAAGGAGGCTTCATGGGTCTGGCTGGTGTTGGAAGCCCCAGGCCTGGGTGCTGGATGGCGGGTGGGGGACTCACCTTGCCGGTCTACACTGAGCAGTGTCCATGGGGCCTGGGGAGGGGTCAGTGCCCAGCCTCCCCAAGTCCAGTTCTTTCTCTTCCAAGGACCGTCCAGGCCCTGCCCTGGGCTGGCCGCAGTGGCTGGTGCCTATTTCATGTTGCCCAGGTGGAATCTGCCAGGCTGGTCTAAATAAAGGGCACCCAGGGTCTCTCTCTACTTCCCGCTCAGGGGTTCCTGGGCCCAGCAGGTGACAGCGTCAGTTTCTTGCCCTGCTTCCCCATGGTTACAGTGGTGGGATGGGGCGTGGGAGTAGAGATGGTCCAGCTTGGTATTGCTGGAGGCACACCAGCTGACCCTTCAGACCAGCCCCCAGATACGATGAGTCTTTGGAAGCTCAGGAGGCCTGACCCCAGGTCCACGGGTCCCTCATCTCTCCAGCCCTCTGATCTCCCCCAGCCCAAAACAGGTGGGTCTCTTCCTTTCCAGCAGCTTTCACCCTCCTCACCAGGTGGGCGGGATATGGACTCCTTCTCCTGAGGCAGGGAGGAACAGAGGGGGCCCTTCTGTCTTCAGGTAGCCAGCCACCCTCTGTGCCTCTTTCTTAGGCCCTGGGGGTTTTCTCAGGGTGAGGGCCTTGACAGTCAGCCCCCAGGGCCCCTCCCTCCTCTGCCCACCTCCACCGGGGGGTCCTGCTCTAAGCCTACTGAGTAAGATGGCTCTTGGCCTGGGTGTCCAGGGGACTCGGGGGCTGTTGGGAGACCTCTGTGATGTGCTCCGTTGCCGTGGTTACCCTAAGTATATGATGATGTCAGCGTTCCGAGGGCTGGAGCCCCCCACCTGCCCAACCACAGTTATCTCCCCCTTCTGGCTTACTCTGTCCATACTAGCTAAAGCTATGGAGATCTGTCTGTGTCTGTCACGGTCTAAACAATAATACAACTTAATCTTGATTTCCTTGGAAAGTATCTAGACTTGGAGTCAGGAAGAGCAAATCAAAAGTGTGCTGGTGGGGTGGGGGGAGGGGAGAGATGGGGAGAAAATGTGGACCTCAAAATCTTGTGGAAGTGAATGTTGCAAACCAAAAGTAAATAATTGTTTTATTTTAAAGTGTGCTGGGTCTGGAGTCCCTGGGGCTCAAGTCTCACCATCTGTGACCTGTAACTTTGATCCTGCAGAGCCCTACGAAGGCTCATCTTTAAAATGAACAAGTTGGTCTACTTGACCTTTAAGATTCCTAGTTTTTTAAGTCTGTGACCCTCTGGTAGCTTGTCGACTTTGAACAAGTCCCTTAGCCTCTGCCTGGGTCAGTCCCAGTCCTCTAGGGCCACTCCCTAGGAACAAGTCATTCTGCGTTGACAAAGAGAATTTCCACCATGGGAGTCCCCTAGACGGATGATTACCAAAACGCTATTATATTTAATTTATTTAATTTTGCATTATTATGCTATTAATTTTCTCACCACCAGGTTGGCCAGAGAGTGGAATTTTTCAGGCACAACTCATTACTCTCATAGAACTGTCCACTAAATCTCAGAAGGGTCAGGCTTTATGAAGTGTGTGCCTAGGCCAATGAGGTCATAGATCCTTGAAACATCATTTACAACATGTTATAAAATAAAATAAGTTATTAGACTCATTAATGTAATTAATAACATTTAATGTTGATAAAAGCTCACATTCCTATAGCTCTTTAAAATGCTTTCCTTACAATTCAACAAGCATTTCTTATGCACTGAGCCAGGGCTGTGGCAGTAGAGATAAAAATAAAACTGCCCCTGCCCTCAGAGGGTTTCTGTTCTAGCTTCTGCGGCTCTGATATGATCACCAGTAGAGAGGGAGAAGAGAGAAGAGAAGGGAGCCTAGGACAGAGCCTGAGAGGGACACCCACAGTTAGGGAGGAAGACCCAGCAAAGAGGACCAAGTTGGAGTGGGGGAGGACAATCAGACAAGAGCAGGGAATGAAAACTCAGACAGGAGGAAGCAGAGAGGATGGCCAACAGTGCCAAAGACTGAAGAGAGGTCCAGAAGGCTGAGGTCAGCAAAAGACCAATGAAGCAGTCCAAGGCTTGTCATCTCCATTTGACAAATGGGGACACTGAGGTGCATGCCACAGGGGAGGGGGCTTGCCCAGAGTCATATGGGGAATAAGACTCAGACCCAAGATATGAACTCTAGTCTCTTGACTTTAAGAGAAGTGCTCTTCAAATATCACACCCTAGCTATAATTAGTCCCCAATTTATAGATGGGGAAACTGAGACCCAGAAATGAGAAATAACTCTTTTTTAAAAAAGAAAATAGATTTTTTTTGTTTTTACATCACCTGGATTTTCCTCTACATCCCTCTCCTTCCCTCTCCCAAAGAGCCATACCTTATAACAAGGAATTTTTTTCTAAAGAAAGAGAAGAAAAAAAATTCAGCAAAAACTAATCAGTCCATTGAAAAAATATTGATATGATATGCAATGATGTGGGGCTCTATCCCCCACCTCAGAAAAAGAGGGGGGTGGGGGAGGCGCGGAAGTCTCTTTCCCGACACTTCCCGGCAGGTCCCCTGATTTTAATCTAGAGCTCTTTCCCACAATGCCAGTGTCACCTACCCCTAACTCTCCCCAACCCATCTTAAAGGGGCTCAGGGTATGCTCACAGCACAGACCTTTTTCTCAGAAAAAAAGAGGAAAGGTCAAGGGCCAGCAGGAGGGCCCCTTGGGGCTGAGGCACCCTCCGGTGGTCACTCTGGGAGAGGCAGGAACCCACAGCCCAGAATCCCGTCTGAGGGAACATGAGGCTATCTAGATCAGCACTTCCCAAACTCCCTGGGCCTCAGGACCCCGGGGAAGGAAGGGGCCTGGTATCTCCCGAGAGAACTTAGAAATGCTTTAAGGCTGGCAGAGCGCTCTACACATTTTATCTCTTTTGATACCACAAGTGTTTTCTGCGCCCTCTAAATCTGATGCCCTGGGAGAAACCCCAATTGCCCTGCCCTAGTTTTGGCTATGGTTAGTAATCTAAAAGATGATCCTTTGTTTCAGGGGAAAACCTTTGTGTTTCCCAAATACAACCCAGCCCATTTGTGGGGTCACAGATTTAGAGCAGGGAGCAGCCTCAGAGGTCACCTAGTCAAACCCCACCCCCATTTATAAAATGAGAAGGCTGGATGTGACTTCAGAGCGCTGAGCACCCTTCTAGCTGAGGGAGGCTGGCTTTGGAGACCAAATACTTTGGGAATAGAGATCCCATGTGCTCCTTCTTTCTTCCTTCCTTCCTCCCTTCCTTCCTTCCTTTCTGCCTTCCTTCCCTCCTTCCTTTCTCTTTTCCTTTCTTTTTTTCCTTTTTTACTAATTTGCATATATCCTATAATGTGTGCTTTTATTTTAATTTTAATTTTATTTCTGTCTGTGCGTTTTTGTATTTTAGGAAAATGTTATTTATATCTTTAGTTTTCACATCACATCCATTTCCCCAACATCCCCCATCCTCCAAGAGAGCTAGGCCTCATCACAAAGAGTGAAAAAGAGGGGACAACAGTTTATCAGAACGCACTGACCCATGAGCCGAGGGCAGTATCGTCCCATGCAGTGCCAGGCACCCATAAGCACCCCCTCCTCGCCCCCTTACATCAGCCTGGTTCAATGCTTTGCTTACCTGTGTGTGTCGTTAAAGAAGACTCCACCTGCATTGGACTCTCCAATGTCAATGAAGGCCAGGGTGAGGAGTCTGGACTTCATCTCATGAGTAATGGGGAGTCATTGAAGGTTTGTGAAGGTCAGCAAAGGGAGGGAGGTGCACATAAGCCACATTGTAATGGATCTGTGAACTCCCTGGTAAGGGCAGTCCTCCCACTGGTGCTGATAGAGGCCCATCTCAGTCCTCTCCTCCCTAATAAAGGATCTACATCTTTAAGGCATTCCTTGAGGTCTTCAAAGATTCTGTGGTTCTCAGGGCAACCTTGGGTGTCTACAGTCAGTCTTCAGTCTCTCGATGGCCCACCATTGTCACAGAGGATAATGGTGTGTCTTGTGCATTCGGAGTGGGAGATTAAGTAATGTCATTGATGTCAGAACTCCTAAGTGGGGAAATTCCCTCCACTGATGCAGGTTGATTCCTTTTCTGCAACTTTTGGAGCAGGGCGGGGATAGGAGACTTGCCCAAGATCATACAGTTGGAACTTCTCAGAATCAGGACTTGAGCCGGGGTCTTCTGTGGGCTACGCCATGCTGCATCTCATGGTAGATACAAAATCACCGTGTGTTGTGGTGAGCTTTGGCAGAGAGATTTCCTTTACAGGCTTTGCGTTCTTCTTACTTGTCCTTCATTTCTGGAGAGGACCAATGACGTTATGGGGTGACAACTTGACTTGCATACAAATTGGATTCCGGTGAGGCAGAGCCGCACAAAGTTGTCAGCCTCACTCTCTCTTCCAGAGTCATCAGAATCCAGTCACGATTATTGGCCATGGCCCCGGATGCCAGAGATGGCATTGGTGTCTTCCATGTCTAACCAAACTCTAAGCACTCCCTGCTTCTGCCGCTGGAACAAATCGTGCATGTGTACCCATTCCCCGGGGAGAAATCTTCACGTGCTGGAAGTAGACAGCCCCTACCTCTCCAATGGGTTTGAGGTCCATCAGTTACCTTTAACCTGGTTTAGCCCATCTTCACCACCGCACCTGCTACAGCTTCTTGGAGTCACAGGTGAGAGTTGGGCAACAGGTGGATACCAAAGGTGGACGAGCAGCCCTGAGAAGCCCTCCCACCAGAGGTGCTGGTCCTCCCTGAACACCCCACATGACCTTGTATGCAAAGGTCAACCCTGGAAATTCACTGTACTCAATTCAGACCCACCAAATGACTTCTTTTTAAAGTTTTAGCGATGTCCCTCCCCTGACACATACAACCTGAGTGACCCCAAGCAAGTTGTTAAACCTCTCAGTGTCACACACAATTCTCAAAAATGATCACTTGTAGAGGGGGTGCAATCTGCTTTGGTAGAGAGAGTTCTCTTATCTAGGAGTTCCACATATCAATGAATTCTCAGGTCCATCCCTATTTCTATCCTTTTGTTCTTAGAGACCAAGCGTTTCCAGCTATACTTCCTCCCCAGCCCTAGCCACACATGCCCACAACCAAGCGAGTCTCCCCTCATAACAAAGAAAACCAGCTTCCACCATAACCACATCTGAGGGTGTATTCAATATTCTGCACCCATAGTCTCCCACCTCTCCAACCAAAAGAGGGAGGTGCATTTCCTTGTTTCTTCTCCAGAATCAACATGGGCCATTACAATAATGCTTTGTTTCATTGATCTTTTCACTTCCCTCATCGAAGTTACAACGTTTTGCTTTCCCGATTCTACTTACTTCACTCTGCATCAGTTGCTTGAAAGATTCACATGCTTCTCAGCATCTCCTGTAATTGTCTTTTCTTATAACTCAATAATATTCTATCCCACTCATGTACCATGGTTTGTTCAACCATTCCCCAATCAATGGGCACTCATTTTGTCTCCATCTTTTTTGTGACCATAAAAGTGCTGCTATGAAAATATTTGTGTATATGAGACTCATCTTTTTGTCCTTGGCTTTCTTGGGGCCGCATGTGGGATTAATGCAATGGGACCACTCTGGCTCAGATATGAACCATCTGGTAACTTTTGTCACATAATTCCAAATTGTTTTCTAGAATGATGTACCAACTCACCACTCCACCAAAAATGCATGAGAGTTCCTATCTT